GCACGCCCAAAGACAGTTGGACATAGTGGTGTATTAGAGGTAAAAAATTATATGAATAATGTTCGGTTTCTGGCACAAACCGATCGTTTCGTGTCTTAGGACGTCAATGTGTCGTCACGAGCCGCAGGGTTTAATTTGGTTTTGTTTGTGTATGTTTTTTTTACTCTCAAAACCGTGATTCCCATCCACTTACATTATAAGACTGACAGACTGCAACGGTTTGAGTTAAAAATCTTCGTTTGTGTTCTACTGAAGAAACAAAGTCACCTACATCTTGGATGCCCTGGGGGTAAGCAGATAAACATCACATTTTCATTTTAGGGTGAACTATCCCTTTAAGTATCGTAAGATTATTTGCTTCTAACTAAACCTGGGTGAAATGTTGAATATTCCTAATATGTATGCATTTTGTGCACTTTACTGTGCACTTTGTGCTTGATCATCTATGTTTCATGAGTATTAAAGCATTAAGACAGATATGCTTTAATATCTCTGATTTAAGCTTCAATAGCAAAAAGGCTGTTGAAGTCAGAAAGATCCAATTCTGTGGATTTGTTCATAACTGCCGGTTTTGAATCATTTCAATCAATTCATTCTTTGTAGCATTTTCACCTAGTTAACATCTTACAATAAACTATTATACTGGTGCATATAAATGAAAATATGTTTTTTTAAATCTTTCTTGTGTTCATTTAGTGAAAGACGAGAAAAAAATATATGCCTTGATCATTTTTAACAATCCTGAATCTACTTGGTAAACATTCTGTCTGGTAGAAATTATGGTTCCTCTGCAATAAAGACAGAAATATCTAGATTTATATTCAATTTCATTCAAATGTTCACAAATATCAGCACTATTTGCAATGGTAAACGAATGTTGCATTATTACTGCCAAATATATAAATAAAATACAATAAAACTTGCATTTAATTTTTTTTAAATGTTATATTGTAATTCTTTTTTATAGTTTAAAATGTTATTAAATTCAAATTAAAATGTATTTTATATTTGTATTAATTAATATATTAATATAATATTTTACTATATATATTTTAATTAATTGTTTTTCTTTCATATTTGATTAAACGGCATCAAAACAATGCGGAAATTTTGTATCCATCAAAGGTGATGGAAATCAAGGGCTTGTTTTACAAGAATGCATCTTCAGGAACCAATTAGAAACCCTGAGCTGAATTTAATGCCTGTAATCAACAGAAGTATCGTACCATTCTAGTAAAATCAGCAGCGAAAGTCACTCCTTTAGTCGGCCGTGAACCTTCCTGGGAACTGCTGCTACTGTTACCGCTCAGGGAATTTTTCCTCATGATCCCTGTGGAACAATCGCAGTAAAGAACGATATTAAACATTTCATTCGGTCATTTGCCATTTTCATTTAATTAAAACATTGCGTATTAGGTTAACATTACTTAACTTGATTAGTTAGCATGAACTAACAATGAAAGATACTTCTTAAGAATTTTAGAGACATGTTTGATGCATTTTATGCTTGTTAGTTCCAAATCCTTTACTTCTAAGCTGCTATGCACGTATGGATGCTCCCTTAAAAGGCAGCTGCCCGTGTAGGTGGCAAACAGCAAGGCAGCCCACTAAGTTTTGATATGATTCAAATCTGGAAACATAAACCTCGGTTTAACCTGTTAAAGGCAGAATGTCGACTCTCTGGAGGCTGTTTCTGCGAGACGACGGGACGTTTCCTCCTTTAGACAGTCGGCGTTGGCGGCTGGAGAGCATTGCGGCTGGAAATACGATACAGGGGGGAGGGACCTTCCCCATTCTGGCGTACAGTTCCTCTATCTCCTGCTTCTGCACCGCCTGCAGAGACTGAACCTCACACAGATGCCTGAGAGGGAGAAAATGAGGATTTAGAGCAGGGTTGCCAGGTCTGCCAAACAAAACTAGCCCAATTGACCCTATCGACTTGATACAACTATTCATTAGATCATTCAATGCATTATAAGGCGCATTACGAAAAACATAATTAATGCATTAAAATACTTTTTTATTGCATTATAAATAAACACTACAAGTAAAGTGCTACAGAACTATTTTTTCTTAGTTATAATAATCTAAAGAACCTCTTGTGGAATATAGAAAGGTTCCATGGATGTTAAAGGTTCTTCATGGAACCACAGATGCCAATGGAGAAGCTTTATTTTTAAGAGTGCAGATGAGTTATAAAAGTCTCTTACTTCTCCCTCAGCTCCTGTAGCTCCCCCCACATCTCTTCATCCTCGCTCTCTGATTCGTCGCTGCTCAGGTAGGAGGAGCTGCGCGTGTGGCTCATCCAGAGGTTGTGGAGAGGAGTGGCATACGGAGGGCTTCCCGTGTTTCCATCCCACACTCTTCTGTCTGTATCCATGGCCACAGAAAACCCGCTGTCCACCGACGTTCCCATGAGAGTCGGGCTGCAATCCACTCTGCGTCCCTTCTTCCTCCTGTACTTCTTATCCACAGGGGTCTCTTCACCATCATCAACATCCTGCTCTTGCTCATCAATCTGTCCCTCTCGGTCTTCTTTTTGATTGTTCTCCGTCTCGGGCTGGTCAGCAGAACTCAATAAATAACGCGGAGCCTCGCAGGAAGGAAGAATGGAGAGGTTTTGATCCGGTGACCTGATGTGATTATCCGGAGGGACGACAGGTGGAGTTTCAGTGGGTGTGTTTTCACTGTCTGTGTGTCTGGCCGGAGCAGGAATCTCTTTGCTGGGGGAAACTTGAAAACGGCCCACAGTTACAGTAGGCTTTGGCTCTGTGAGAGAGAAAGAGAGATAGGAAAGGTGGAAAAAGATGTAAAAGACTGCAAACACACTTGCAAATCCCCTCAAGCATGATAATGACAATGCAGAATTATGTTATACTGTTGTCACATGACCTCATCACATTGCGTTTGAGGGACATACAGTTATCATCCTGAAAATTAAATGCTTAATTTTGCCTTTTTAACCCTCTGGTGGTCTTCAGCCATTTTACATTGGGAATTTTTAATTTCGTATTTATTTATTTTACTTAACCAGAATGGTACAAACTCACACACACAAAAATCTTATATATATATATATATATATATATATATCAATGGGGTAGTCGTGGCCTAAAGTTAGAGAGCAGAATATATAATAATTTGATTGAAAATAAAATAAAATAATATAAAACAAAATAATACAATAAATAAACAAACATTATTATAATTTAATTAATTAATTAATTAATTAAATTATTAATATATATAATTATATAACTGACTGTTTTAATTGAACATTATAAAACATTTTAAATGCATATTTGTATTATTTTATATAGAAATAAATGGAGCATAATTTAGAGGTTATGAAATCCCCTCAAAATACAAGATATTAAAGAATCAATGCTACTGAAACAAAATATAGTGCATTCATTAAACTAAAAAAAATCTAAAGGAAAAATACTTATTATCTTCGGTTTTCTGTAAAAATGAACTATTTCTGTGAGTCAAAGCTGAATTTTCAGCATCATTACTCCAGTCTTCAGTCTTCTTTTATCAAATAAATAAATACTGACCCATATAATTACAAACTTTTGAATGGTATTGTTACAAAAGATTTCTATTTTAAATAAACGCTGTTCCTTTTTTAACTTTTCTACTTCACAATGTTACTGTTTTTTCTGTATTTTTGATCAAATAAATGCAGGCTTGTGGAGCATAAGAGGCTTTTATTTTTAAGTAATTTGTTACTATTAAGTAATTATTAAGTCATTTATTCAGTAATTTATTCACAGTTCCTAAATACCACTTCAGTGCTTTGATCATTTTTTTCCTAGCTGGGCACCAATATTCACTACAGATATTTTCATGTTATTAATATTAATAAATATGATACTATGTATTGCATTGCTACCTTAAATGTGCACTATATACACAAATCAAGTGGACGTGAAAGAGACATTTCTAGCTGAAACTGAAATGAAGTGTTATGTTAGAGCAGTAATGTATTTTTTTAAATATTAAAAATGCTCTAGGGGTTTTTTTTTTTTTTACTTTGAATTCAAACTTTTTTGCTTGGACTTTTGTAGCTATTTTGCTAATCAGCTCTCGACGCAATGTCATTCATTGTATGCGCTCTTTTAAACTCGTAATAAACCGGTGAATGATCTATCCGGAAATGACGCTGATCGACAGATATTAAGAATACATTGCAATCACTCTAAAATAGATGATGACAACTCACAAACCTGCATTAGGAGCTGGACTTCTTTGCATGCATATTTAGCGTTTTTCTTCGCAGCAGCTGAAGGATGTGTTTAGTACGACAAACATTCAGAAGGCGGGACCCGTTTTGAAACGGCATCATTAATTGGTTTAATTGCAGGTGAGTGACAGTTCAACTACATCCAATGAACAATGAGACCGTATTTTGCTGCCTGTCTGGACTGGTGAACTGGCGTATAGGAATGTTATGGTTATGGAGGCCCCGCCTCAAAGCCCGAGGCCCTAGGCAATCTCTGCCTATAGGTAGCGTAGTCCGACAGGCATATTTAATAGGTGTCGACAAACCCTTTAACCATTAAACATTATAAAACCATATTATGTAAGAAGAAAGCCCTCAGTGTAGCAGGACGTGTGTAACTGTAAGGTTGCATAAGTGTGTGTAAAAGTGTCGGGGTGTTTGTGTTTTGGGGTCAGTATCTTACCAGATGGTGATGAGATTTCTTGGCACTGGGATGCTCTGGTAGTCTCTAGCGTGGCCAGGGGGGACGATGATCTAGGACTGGATGACGAAACCTTGGAGAGAACGCAAGAGCATTTTATTCAGGCATACTTCCACATCTGGGTTTCATAACCGAGGATGAGCACATTCAAAGGTACATTAGCAATGTTAGCTGTTGACATTCAGTCATATAAATCATGCTCAGAACAATTGCCAACATTATGGAAACAAACACAGTCATAACACGGCAAAGCTAAAGATTTAGCAGCGTTTACTGCAAACCGAGCCACTGAAAACACTGGATCATGCATGACTCGGAAACATGCAGCGATTTTTTGCCTTTGCGATTTTATTTCTGTTTATTTTGCAGCTCTAAAAACAAATGTACAGACTGGCATAAAATGAGGCTTACTCTGCTATCTGGACTCGCTCGTGAGGAAGACGAGCGTCCGGATGAAGACCCGGGGCTGCTCCGCTGCTCCAGTAAGTGTCTGGGGAAAGCGGGTCTGTATCCGTGAGGATAATCCTTGGAGGATTCCTGTGTGTACAGCGTTCCTTCTTGAGGAACTGTGGACGCTGTCTGCTGGCTGGATGTGGAGACGCCGCTGGGTGAAGCAGATGTTGGAGTAGCTCGGGAAGGAGACGACATCACAGTGTCCCGAAACTGGGAACCCAAGGTCTGGTAATACTCGGCCATCCCTTGGTTGTACGCCACCTCCGCCGGTACAGATGGAGGATACTGGGGCGCGTACATCGTGGGATAACCGGGCTGATAACCGGGCATGGCCTGTACCAGACTCGGCGTGGGCATGAACGAATGTGCCATGCTCATGGCCATAGACAGCACATTTGCCAGGGAAAACAGCGGTTGAGTGTGAGGAGGCCACATGGCCGGCGTGTGAGTGGGAGGGGGAGACATCAGGTTGACGTCGGAAACAGGACTTGAGACATCCGAGCTGAAGGGACTCGGGGAGCCCGGGATGGATGAAGGGGACGAGAGGGAGTATGACGGACTGCTGTGTATGTGGGATAGGGGAGTGTGGGCGGGTTTGGGGGAGGCTGGGTGAGGCGGGTACGGGAAGGGGAAGTGGGTGGCAGTGTTCATGTATGAGGGTATGTACTGCTGCATGTGAGGTAGTTTGGAATGAGGCATTCTGGGATCAGGAGGATAGACTGAAGCTGATGGGACGTGATGAGGATGAGGAGAACCTGGGAAATGACAAAAAACATAAGTCACAAGGGTAGTTTAGAGTGAGATTTGTACATAAAGTTGTATAAAAAAAAACATGCAGCTGTGTGACGAGGATATTATAGTAACTAAAACCATGAAAATCTGTTTTTTTTTTACTTGAAATAAATTTCAGCTAGTTGTCAAGGCAACATTTCTCAAGTTCATTTTGACTTAATGTATAACAACAAAAATAAAACTGAAATAAAAATTAATAAAAACGATTTAGACATTTTTTGAGTTACATGACAAAGTTAATATTAGCGATGCCTATGTGAGCACAACTACACTCACAGCTTGCAAACAAAACCAATTCATAAACATCTGAAAGGTTGTTCACTATACACTATGCATCTATAAGTTTATATACAAAGCATTTAAAATATGCTGGAAAGATCTGACACAAACCTACTTTGGATGTACGCCTAGCTAGAAGGCTCTCCAGAAAACAACAAACGCTACCGTTGCAACTGATTTAATCACACTCATTCATAAGCAATAACCGAACCTTGATTGCAATACTCGTGTGAATACAGGCAATGATAAATGACCGTAACTGGTTCCTCCCGCTTTGTGCGAGCCTAAGCAAACAGGATGAGATGTCACCCTCGCTCTATTTCACACACCTATGGGCTTGTCCCATCATCTCTCATTGTGCATCCGTCAATGCTAAAGTGAAAGGCCTCAACACAATAAACCTTTCACACAGTGCCATCTCCATGGCAATACACAAAGTGTTGTCTAACACTGTATCTGATGGGTCCATTACGTCAACAGCCCCAGTGAACGATCGATGAAGCCAGCGAGTCTGACATTAAGGAAAATAAAAACCAGCTGTGCATTGGCTTGTAAAGCTCCCATTGTAACGGATGCTGCTGGTAATTTTTGTCGGATGAAGATAATTGCTGTAGACATCATAACAGTGGCTCTTGGTTATATCTGGATATTCTTTTTCGAAAAAATTGAACAAGCAAGATGCATCATGGAGGCACGGAGCCAGAAGGCAGCAGAACAAAATGTTCTGTGGGAGGGACAGAAAAGCACCAGCAGCGGTGGAGAGACTTCAGCGGGCGGGGGTCTGGCAGGATTTGTGGGTCTTGGTATTTAATTTACGACAGAGCTCCCCGATGGGGAGAGCAGAAGAGCTTACAAACAGATGTGGGGAGCAGAAGTTGCACTTCAAATGTCATTATCTGTCACTTTGATGAACTGGGTTGTAAACGTTCCATGTCTTTTTTTCTGCCATTCCCAAAATGTATATGCAATTGACTACAACACTGTAGCTAAAACAGTAGGCCATGGGTTTGATTCTCAGGGAATGCATGAACTGATCAAATGTATACCTTCAATGCAGGATAATAGCATCTGCCAAACGCATAAAAGTAAGTGCAATTCCATTTCTGTAGGTAGATCTTGTCTTGATATAGCCAATATTAACATATTCAATAATAAAAATGACAATATCGTTCCGATTCTTTGAGAATTAGTAAGTCACACCACAACTATAACGCTAACGACAAAGAGAAACAATATCATTGGAATCTCTTTCAGAACAATTTTTTTCCAGCCGGTGAATGACAGAAACATTGACAGCCAATCAGAATCCATCTGACTTTAAAGCGCTCTAGCATTTAAAGTGGCAGACGACAAAACTGCAGCAAGCTTATAATAAACAGAACTATATCGTCCACTGGTGTGAATGCTGTTATCGTTATAGCTATCGTTACAGTTATCGTTCTTGGTATGAACGGGTCTTAATTTGGGTAAAACTATTGTATTATCTTCAATAAGCTCAATATGCTAATGCGGTCACAACAGCTTTTTGATTTCATTCAAAAACTCAAAATGTTAAATAATTGCATTTGAAATCAATTTTATTTTACCATGTCATTGTTCAGTCAAATAATGTAATATTTAGCGTTTTTTCACGTTACGCTGATTTCACAGGAAATTCAGTTGCATAAGCTTGTTTACTCTTGTAGTCCAAGTAGTAAGTTCTTGTTTTGTTTTGTTTTATTCTGCTTTCACAATAGGAAAAATATATCTATAAAAGCTTATTTCTGCCACAGAATAAAAAAATACAAAATTATTTGCAACTTTTTATCTCATAATTCTGAGTTCACATATAATTCAGACTTTTTTCTTTCATTTTAAAAAAATAGTCAGAATTGCAAGATATAAACTCAGAATTGTGAGGGGAAAAAAAATCAAAATTGTGAGATAAAAAGCCGCAATTACCTTTTTTATTGTTTCATTTTAGCCGAAATAAGCTTCCATAGATAACCGATGGGGTTTTACGATCATTTAGTAAACGGTATCAAATTAGTTACTCCAATAGAATACACAAAATCATTTTCATTCATCTTCTCAAATCCTCACTTCCACCTCTCTCCATCTCTATTTTTGACCTGATGCTCTAAAACTTTAAAAACTTCTTATCACTATTCATACTCTCTTAAAAATAAAGGTCATTTATGGGCATCTGTGGTTCCAACCTTTAACATCCACAGAACCTTTCCATTCACAAAAGGTTCTTTTATAGTGGAAAAAGGTTCTTTAGATTAACCCAAAAATGGTTCTTCTATGGCGTAAAAAAAAAAAAAAAAAAACTTTTTTTTTTTAAAGGGATAGTTCACCCAAAAATGAAAATTACCCCATGATTTACTCACCCTTAAATATGGATATTTTTCTGACACAAATGCATAAATTTGCTTCAGAAGGCCTTTATTAACCCCTGGAGCCAAGTGGGGCACTTTTTATGATGGATTGATGCACTTTATTTAGCTTCAAAATCTCAACCACCATTCACTGCCATTATAAAACTTGGAAGAGCCAGGACATTTTTTAATATAGCTCTGATTGTCTTCGTCTGAAAGAAGAAAGTCATACTCCCCTAGGATGGCTTGAGGGTGAGTAAATCATGGGCTAATTTTTATTTTTGGGTGAACTATCCCTTTTGAGTAACTGTGGGGGCGTTGTTAAAGTACGGAGTCATAACAGACCAGATGCCGTATTGTTTATCTGTCAAAATGACGTCTGTTGATGTTTTAAATGTTGTTTAGGTTAACACAACTTTCATTATTTTTTGGAACCGTGAAGACAGCATTCACAGCCCACAAACAAGTTGCCTTCAGCTAAAGCAATTACCCAAGAGTCCCATGAGCAAGGCGGATACAAACTGCATCTTTGAGTTACTATATATGCAGAAGGCGCCGGCTACAGCCTGATGACATTTAGAGAGCGGCCAGCTTTCATTCCCACTCACAGGAATAAAGCAGAGTTACACTGGAGAGAAGTGGTCACTTACCTGGGGCATTATGGAAAGACTGTGAACGTAAGAGTGGACGTGTGGATGAGGTAATGTCTCCAGCGGCTCCCGGAGGAGAGGCTCTTGCCCCGGCGCCCAGACCAAACTCTGCTGGAAAACCCACATGTATATGCGTGAAAAAGGTGCTGGATTGAAAGCGCTTGAAAGAGTTACTTCATTTTGGCATCATCAATACTCAATGGCAAAGTTTATGTAAGCTTACCTGGTAGTGAGGAAGAGGAATGAGCTTGTGCCAGACTGTGAAGGTTTGGCTGTAAGGAAAAACAGTGCGTTTTATATTATAAATGTCCTTTCAAATCCTGTTTTATAGAGGCTTCATTTACAGTGGGGGACAGTGGGAGAATGTTTTTGAAAGATGTGTCTGATGCTCATCAAGGGTGCATTTATTTTTATGAAAAATACAGTAAAAAAATTAATATTGTTTATACTGTTTTCTTTTTTTTATCAGACCTATTCTAATCTTTTGACCTGTTTAAAGGGATAGTTCACCCAAGAATGAAACTTACCCCATGATTTACTCACCCTCAAGCCATCCTAGGTGTATATGACTTTCTTCTTTCAGATGAAGATAATCAGAGTTATATTAAAAAAATTCCTGGCTCTTCCAAGCTCTATAATGGCAGTGAATGGGTGGTTGAGATTTTGAAGCAAAATAAAGTGCATCCATCCATCAATTAAAGCATTTTAATTTGCTTCAAAATCTCAACCACCATTCATTGCCATTATAAAACTTGGAAAAGCCAGAAATTTGTTTTTTAATATGTATTCATCTGAAAGAAGAAAGTCATATACACCTAGGATGGCTTGAGGGTGCGTAAATCATGGGGTAATTTTCATTTTTGGGTGAAGTATCCCTTTAAATGAAATTAAATTTAATGTAAAAAACAACTTAATCCAGTATAACCTGTATTCTGTCATTAATATAACATTGCACAATCTTGTCATTTATTTCATTACTGCACAACATTCAAATTTTAAACGCATGGTATTGAGAACTGAAAGTTTTGAAGCCTGCAGAGGCTAACTGGGAGTAACAGTGACTTCAGACTGTGGTTTATTTATTAGTGTAATATTCTTTAATGACAGAGTGCTTAAGTTTAATTAAGGTTAAGAGCAGTTGATGTCTGATCGCTGAATCTCTAATGAGCTCCTTCACAGCTCGCTCTACTTCAGCCATACACACAGTCATTCTGCATACTATTTATGCCACAATTAACATGACAATCACTCTCTATGGACGAAACAGCTCATACACACATATGCCACTTCTTCTGCATAAACTCCACAGCTGTGCCGCTTATTGAAAAGGAGGCCTGTGGTTTGGGTACAAGGGTTACATTCTGTCATATCCTCCGCCTTTACACTTTGAGCATCTTGAGTGAACGACGCAGGAGACTTCAGAGACGAGCATTAGGACGCCTGCAGGGAGGAGGTCTGGGATGCAGCTACTCTCGCACGGCTGGTTGTAATCAGGACCTGGTCTGCATCCAGCAGCCCGCTCTTGAGTGGAGGTTACGCAACCCCCAGGGTACCACGCATGAGTGTGTGGGTGTGTGTACCTCCATTATTCTGTTATAGATCTCTAAATCCAAATAAAACTGCCATTGTTTTGCTTCTCTGTACTAATTAAGACATATCTGCAGATCAGTTGACTGGCAGGCTGGAGTAAACGGAGACTGTGTTTTGTTCTGCAGAGTTTGGACACAACATGAAGATTTCATCGCAAAGAACTGCAAAAAATACCACAGTGTTCATTACTGTATCTCACATAGGCCTATATGATATATATATATAT